TATTTCTCCCTTTTGGAATAAGAATGTTCCCTATGCCTACCCCACCATTGTATTTTGGAAGTACCTAACTCATTTGATTTTACAGGTTCACAGATGGAGAACAATTTGTCTCAGGATGAATTGTATCTTTTTTTTTTTAAGATGGAGTTTCGCTCTGTTGCCCAGGCTGGAGTGCAGTGGTACTATCTCAGCTCACTCACTGCAAACTCTGACTCCCAGTTTCAAGTGATGCTCCTGTCTCAGCCCCTGAGTAGCTAGGATTATGGGCACCCACCATCAGGCCCAGCTAATTTTTGTATTTTTAGTAGAGACAGGGTTTGGCCATGTTGGCCAGGCTGGTCTCGAACTCCTGACCTCAGGTGATCCACCCACTTCAGCCTCCCCAAATGCTGGGATTACAGGTGTGAGCCACTATGTCTGGCCTTGGATGAATTATATCTTGAGTCTCGCCTGTATCTGATTTAAATGAGACTCTAGACTTCTGAGTTGGTGCTGGAATGTGTTAAGACTTTAAAGGGTATTGAGACGGATTGAATGTATTTTGCATATAAGGAGGACATGAATTTGGGAGGCCAGGGATGGAATGCTGTGATCTGAATGTGTCCCTCAAAATTCATCTGTTGAGGCTTAATTGCCAATGTGATAGTATCAAGACGTAGGGCCTTTAGGAGCTCTGTCCTCATGAATGGGTTGAATGACCTTAAAAAAGGACTGGAGGGAAATAGGTAGGTCCTTTTTGCCCTTCTACTTTCTGCTATATTAGGATGCATAAGAGACACCATCTTGGAAGCAGGGATCAGCCCTCTTCAGACACCAAATCTGCCAACGACTTGACCTTGGACTTCCCAGCCTCCAGCACTGTGAGAATATCAATTTCTGTTCTTTATAAATTACTTAGTCTCAGGATTTGGCTGGAGCAGCAGAAACTGACTAAGACAAATACTTTGTTACATCAGAAGACACTAGCCAGTAATCCCAGTACTTTGGGAGGCAGAGGCAGGAGGATCACTTGAGCCCAGGAGTTTGAGATCAGCCTGGACTTCATGATGAAACTCCATCCTTACCAAAAATACAAAAAATTAGCTGAGACTGTGGTCCCAGCTACTTGGGAGGTTGAGGTGGGAGGATCACTTGAGCCCGGGAGGCAGAAGTTGCAGTGAGCTGAGATCAAGCCACTGTACTCCAAGCTGGGTGACAGAGTGAGACCTTGTCTCAAAAAAAAA